CATTTATTATTTATACTAAAATAATAGAACAGTACAAAGACAACTATGCCCTTATAGGGTGGCAAAACATAAAACAGCATATATAACACTCAAAAACATAAYARAATTTRGACWYRCATRACTAYTGTGGTCCCCACCTCCTATCTAACAACTAACATAAAACATCTACTCAGAAAAACATCATCAAATTAATTAATCTTCAACAGTCTTCTTTTAGCCAGTTCACTACAGTCTCAGAGTATCCTTCTGTAACCAACTTGTTTAAGTGCAATTCTTTAGCCCTTTGAATACCTTCCAGAGATGCTAAAATCTCAGCCCCTAATGAGTCTCCTGTTCTGATTGGGCCAGAAAACATGGATTTCACATTCCCTTTGTCATCCCTTAGTACTCCCCTTATTCCAGAGGGCCCTGGGTTTCCCATGCTGCTGCCATCAAAATTCAGTTTGATAAAGCCAAGAGGGGGGGGGGGCAGTATTAGCTTGAAACCTTCCTGACTAAGAATGAATCTGCAATTTCCTTCCAGTTTCCAGTCAGATCATTAACTGAAAATGCTGCATACAAATCCAAGGTTTTCAGCCAATGAATTACTCTTATGTGAATCACTTTTATTACTGCTTCCACAGTTCTCTCCTTTTCTGAGAAGATCCTTAATTTTCTTTCTTCCCAGGTAGACCAGCACACTGCAGCCCTAACACTTGCGCAGATTTCTAAATCTGCTTCTGCTTATGCAGGCAGTTTATTGATGTGAATTTTTTAGCAATAAAGGAAAATTTCTTAAAATAAAAAAATGAGAGTACAATAATAGGTGATAAATAACTAAGAACAGAGGCAAATAAAATCCCATCAACCCCCCCTCCATCAAATTCAACAACAGGAACATACATGAATTTCACTTCCGAAACAAAAAACACAAGATAGCTTAAATCAATAACGAACACTTCAAACTACAAATTAACCCCTGGTCTCCAACCAACTCAAATCACTAAAATCATCATCTAATTGCTAATGGGACTCATGACCTATTAGGCTTGTGGCTTTGTGCACATTCTCACATGATAGATAAACTTCACTGGTACACCAATGAAATAATTGTTTTCTAAGAACCATCTAACTCGTATTTCTGTCATGCTGAGAGTGAACATGCCTTGATTTTTTTTTTTAAATTTTTAAAGATGAACAAATTCTTTATAGGCAAATTTCAAGCTGTTACCTCTATCATTTTGTTATTGCGTCTCTTAATCAGAGCCTAACAAATTGAGATTTTTTTTTGCTTTATGCAAATTAGTTTCTCCATTTTGGCATGTATTTCTAAATCTGTTTGCATTGACTTCTTAATCATGTCCAATGATTTCTGACACATTAGCTGTGTGGTCCCTGTCTAGTTGTAGACATGCCTTGACTTTCCCACATCTTTTTTAAATTTTAACTACTTTTATATCTTTAGACAGATGATTCTATATGAGGAATTGTTCCTCGACACTTGGGAGAAGTGATACATCATAAAATAAGGTAGATATCTTCTCTTGCAATATATTTATTTAATGCTTTTCTTTTTTTGATAAATGTATTTAATGCTTTTCTTTTCTCTTTATGTTTCCTTTTTTGTGCTTGTTTCTTTTCTTCCTCTTTCTGCAGTATATATACTGTTGCACCTCACCTGTGTATTCTGGTTGTCAAGTGGAGTTCTACATGTAGTGAGTTTCAGAGGAATTTGTACCAGGGTTGTGGAAGGTTTCAGGTCCTATCACACCTTAAGGTCTTCATCTACAGCAGGATAGGTATTTCTTGAGTACAGATTTTGTGATTTACACTCCATTCCTGCTTCAATTTTCCATTTTTTGTTATATCTCTCTGATATTTTTTTTTACCATGTTTCTAATACTTGAAGGAGGGCTTGATGCGGAGATTTTACAGTAAATGTTCTACTCCTGTCCAGGTTCACAAATAAGGTGTCCTTTGGCTGCAGTAACTATGGTCCTCTAGAGTCCTTCAAGATAGACAGTAGTTGCAAGATGGCATTTTGTACAGAAGAGGAACAAACTGAAGATTACCTTTTCAAGATTGTTTTAATTGGTGATTCAGCTGTTGGGAAATCAAACTTGCTTGCAAGATTTGCCAGAGATGAGTTCTACCCGAACTCCAAATCAACTATAGGTGTTGAGTTTCAAACCCAAAAGATGGATATTGATGGTAAGGAAATAAAGGCACAGATCTGGGACACAGCAGGACAGGAGCGGTTTAGGGCTGTGACCTCAGCATATTACAGAGGTGCTGTTGGGGCTCTGTTGGTCTATGACATCAGTAGACGGCAGACATTTGATAGCATTGGTCGATGGCTTAATGAACTACATAGTAAGGACAATGTTTAACCCTTGAATATTTTCTTTTATTGATGCTTGGTACTTGCTACATCACTTCTTATAGTGAGGAAGGAAATCCCATGCACCACTACAATCTACAATTAGGAGGTTCCCCATATAATAGTGATGCAGAATGGACATACAAAATAAGGAAATCCCATAAGCTCCTCTATCAATCAAAACCTAATAACTTTTTGAAGGAATTGACACTGTCAATAAAATTTGGCAGTAAAACTAAAAAAATCAACTTATCAGAAAAGCTAAACAAAACAATGCCAAAGGTAAAATTTTATTTCAATTCTCATCCTCCTCATCTAGAGAAATAATATAGGCTTATCGTAGGCTTATTTTCATAATCTAGAGACTCATTATCCATTGTTGATTTGACTTTAAAACTGACTAGAACTGCTAAAAGCTCCTAAAATTGGACTCTTTGACTAATTGCAATATTGAAATGAATTTTTAATAATGAAACTAATCATCATCATCATCCATGCCTTACCCAACTATATGGGGTTGGCTACATAATTCCTATTTTGCCAATCCATTCTATTTAAAGTCATATCCACTGTTAAATAATAGGGTTCGACTATGATACGGAAAAGATATGATATGGGAAAAACGTTTCACCTGTGAAGTAGAATCATAAACGTGGTAATCACTCAGTTGTTATTTATCAAAATTCATGGGTCGGTTTTGATTGGTCAAAACTCTTTCGATACCATGTCTTTTCCACATCATAGATTTTCCCTAAATAATAATGAAACTAGTACTTATCAAAATAAATTCTAAAACTACTAGAGTTCTAAATAAAAAAATTGAATAATGCAAAAAATGGAAATTCCACCACAAACTCATCATCTCTCCACAAATTGGCCATAACTTGCTTAATTCATGTCTGAATTGTGTGATTTTGACTGTGTTGAATACATAATTGAGTGGGCTTTATATCATCACCAAAATCAAGACAATATGACTTTTGGCTGCAACTATGGTGACAAACAAGAGAAGTTTCTGCATTTCAAGTTTAAATTTGAAATTTTGAATATTAAATAATTCACTTGTTATTTTGAATTTGAGATCCTTTTTATTCTGCATCAGATAGGCGCAAATAGCTAATCTATCCAAAACAAAAGTAAAGAAGGACCTTCTAGTGTTACACCTTTTCATGTCCTTAGTGGACAAAAGGAAAGAAGGATCTTCCAGTGCATAGTTGCCAAGCAGTTTTGCATACTGTGTAATAAAATACTTTTATATTGTTATTTTTGAGATTATAATTATAAAATAGACATAATTAAAGAAAAATATTCATTTTTGTGTTTATAAACTAATTTCTTTAAATTATTTTCTTATTTGTTAGGGTTTATTCAACACAAACATTGCTAACTGCTGTATTGAACCCTCAATGACTTCCTTTCTTCTTTTTCTTCTCATAAATATGTTGATTTTCTAGACTTAAACATGAAGTTTATAATTTTCTTATGAAAATTATGGATAGTTATTAAAGAAAGTTGGTTATGGAACCTAGAGAACTACCCTAGGATATGTGATTTTTACTTAAAAAAATCCATCGCCTAGGTGACAAGGCGCCCCCCTGTCGCCTAGCCTCGCCTTGGCGCCTTGAAAACTATGTTTCAGTGTTACACCTTTTCATTACAATGGAGAATGATGGATGTTCATCCTACTAGGATGAACTTTGTGGATAAAAGGGGATTAAGGACATGAACGTTTCTGCATTTTTAATAGGTTTACCATTGATGCTGTCCAACTTAAAGTTGGTTTGGATTGGGGGGGAGGGGGGGTATCAATGGGTTTACAACCAAGTTTTCCAGTTTCCTGTAGTAGACCAAGAATATATTTACGCTGTGATATAAAGTACCTATTTTGGACCTTGCAGCTTCTATCCCAGGAAAACACCATAAGAGATCCAAGTCATTGATTTCAAGCTCTTTGGTCCAAAAATTCACATATTCTATGTCATCAAAACTATCACTAGTGACTACTGTAAACATACACAAGGAGTATACCGATGAAGCTCACCTGACTGTTTGACTAATATGGTATGATGAGCTTGATTTCTCACAAAACCAAACTTCTGGACCATAGTTGTCAAGGCATCACCCATAAAACTACTGTAAACATAACATATATCGAAAACTAAAAGGCACTTCTCTAGGTGACTAAGGCACTCACCTAGGTGACAAAAATCACAAAGTAGATGCCTTATATTAATGCTATTAATATAGTTGCATCCTATTAATATCTATGTTAGTACCAAGGTTAAATGTCGGTGTTGGTGGAAATGTCGATCATCCAAATATAAGAAACATGTTGGAAATGTTGAAAATATTGTGAAAATTATAGACATGGTGGAAATGTTATGAAATATGCAGGTATGTTTTGTCCATAAGGTTAAGGATACTAATGAGTTTTCTGTGTCTGAAACGAACATGTTTCAGCCCCAACCGTTGCATGAAACACTCCAATAGGGTACTGTGAGGGAAGTGGAGGCTGATTCTGAAGTACAGAGTGAGGAGGCTGAATGTAGGGAAGGGAGTTGGTGTGTGAATCCTTTGACGATCTTTTAAGCAAGGAGGTAGAGTATGAAGCTATTGTAGAGGAGTTGGAAAAACAAGATGGTTATCAAATGGAAGGGAGGGTAGTGGGGGAGTGGAGGGAGATTGGGGAGGAACCGGTGGTAGAATTTGTAGGGGAGATGGGGTTGAAGCTGAAAGAAGTAAGAATGTTAAAATTTATGCTAAAAAGAAGGGGAAAAAGSAAAATGAATGYYAAAGGAAGAGGAAGTTGATGGAGGTTGAGAGATTAAAATCTGATGTGGCTGCGGGTAGTGGGGGAGTGGAGGGAGATTGGGGAGGAACCGGTGGTAGAATTTGTAGGGGAGATGGGGTTGAAGCTGAAAGAAGTAAGAATGTTAAAATTTATGCTAAAAAGAAGGGGAAAAAGCAAAATGAATGTCAAAGGAAGAGGAAGTTGATGGAGGTTGAGAGATTAAAATCTGATGTGGCTGCCTATTTAGAGTTTAGTGCAAGGGGGGAGAGAAGGAAGGGTACAAAGTAGGGGTGTGGATATGTGAGGGTTGAGTTTATGAAGGTTTGCTATGAAGATAATAAGTCGGAATGTTAGAGGTTTGGGTAGTGCTAGAAAAAAGGCAGGTAATAAAAGATTTTCTTAGGAAAGAAAGTCCAGGTATATTGATGCTATAGGAAACAAAAGTAGAGAAGGTAGAGTCAAAGTCAAACCGGATGTTCCAACTCCTAGAAGCTTGCTTAAGTCCATATATGGATCGGTTTAGTTTACATACCATGTGTTCCTGACCTACAACTACGAAACCTTACGGTTGCTGCATATAAATCTATCTTCAGTAAGATCTCCATTCAGGAACGCAGTTTTGACATCCATTTGTCAAATCTCATAGTCATGGTATGCTGTTACAGCTAGCAGGATTCTAATGGATTTAAGCATGGCCACGGGCGAAAAGGTTTCCTCATAATCGATTCATTCTTTTTAAGTGTACCCTTTCGCCACAATACGAGCCTTGTAGGTCTCAACCTTATCATCGGGGCCCTTCTTCCTCTTATAGATCCATTTGCAATCAATTGCTTTTATCCCAGGGGGCGGATCTACTAGAGTCCAGACTCCATTGGTCTCCATTGAATCCATCTCTGCTCTCATGGCATCTACTCACTTCAAGGAATCTATGTCCAACATAGCTTCCGTATAAGTCACGGGGTCCTCCTCACTGGTCGTGGCTTCCACCAAGTAACTTTCTTGGTCATAACTGTAATGAACTGGAGGCCTGGAATCCCGAGTAGATCTCCTAGGTTGGTTATTAACTGGAGCTTGTGGGACATCTCCCACTACCCTTGAGCTCTCCTCATCAAGAACAACTTCTTGACGATGATTGTTCAGGATGTAGTCATCTTCCAAGAAATGGGCATTTCGACTATAGAACACCCTCTGTTCTCCTGGGTCATAGAATAAATAATACCCTACAGAGCCTTTTGGGTAGCCTACAAATAGGCAACGACTGGTCTTGGATTCCAATTTGTTAGCACTCGTTCTTTTAACATGTGCCGGACAACCCCAAATCTTCAAGTGTCTTACACTTGGTTTCTTACCGGTCCAAAGCTCATAGAGAGTCTTTAGAACGGATTTGGTTGGAACCCGGTTCAACACGTATATCGCAGTTTCTAATGCGTAACTCCAAAAGGATGTGAGTAGCTCTGAGTGTACGAGAAGTGATCGGACCATATCCAATAAATTCCGGTTCCTCCTTTCTGACACACCGTTTAATTGTGGTGTAGCAAGAGGAGATAGCTGTGATACTATCCCATTGTCCTTTAAGTAGTCCCTGAATTCGTCAGAGAGATACTCGCCACCTCGATCTGATCGAAGGGTCTTAATTTATCTCCCTAACTGTTTCTCAACTTTATGTCTGAATTCTTTGAACTTTTCAAAAGATTCAGACTTATGTCTCATTAGGTACACATAACCATACCGTGAGTAATCATCGGTAAAGGTTATGAAATAAACGTGCTGGTTACGTGTCCTAACATTCATGGGACCACATACATCAGTATGTATAAGGTCAAGTGTGCTTGTCGATCTTTCAGGCTTACCGTTAAATGGCTGTTTCGTCATCTTACCCTGAAGGTAAGATTCATAGGTTGGAAGATCTTCTACAATTAGAAAATCCAAAGGACCATCCTTTACCAACCTTGTGATACGATCTATGTTAATGTGGCCAAGTCGGTAGTGCCACAGGCACGTGGGATTGATTGTATCACGGGTTCTTTTCTTGGGATTATAATCCGACGTAGTTTCGGTTATATTTGTTTCTAGAGAAGGATGGAGAACATAGAGACCATTCTCAAATTCTCCATATGCGAGGAATTTGTTATTTCTTTTGATAGTAATCATATTACTAAAGAGAACAGAATATCCATCTGCACACAGTTTTGAAACATAAAT